TCTGGAACAGTGTTGTAAATACAACTTAACCACTGATTTCTAGTCAGTGCACAAAGAACACACGGCGGACTAGAGTGAGCGGTAGCGGGTGGGCTTGAGTGAGCGGAGGTGGGCGGGCTTGAGAATGGAGCGGCCGGCGGGCTTGCGGCAACCACATGTGACGACCCCGGGCTGGACTCTGCTTCGTCCACGGTGAAAGCCGATCCGGTGATCCACAGCGCGAAGTTGATGTATTTCCTCAGCAACCAGCACAAATCAGCTCCAGGCATGACGAAGCGGATATCGTCCTCTTTTGGAAGGCCAAACAAAGTAGTTTCACTTTCACAACGAAACACACAGTGCCTTCACAAGATGGCGGCGGCGGCAACAACAACAATACTACAGCGAGAATAAAAGTTACGCCTTCTTTCTTTGCGTGAACATTTGGGCGGCGTTATGCAAATCTTCCCACATCGTGACGTAGACATGTGGGGGCGTGTTAGAACGAGCCGTTTTAGGTAGGCGTGGCTGACTCTTAACTTTTATAAAGAATATCTCTTTGGATTTGAGACTTTAGTCTTTGCAACTTTACAGATCTTCTTTATGCACCAAGAGCATTGTAACACTCCAAAGAGAAAGGAAAAATTAAAATCGCACCATATGACCCCTTTAAACTTTTCACATTGCTTTATATCCTGGGTTCATTTGCTTGCATGTACAATATGCATCATCAGTAAAGTGTATACTGAATTTGGCCTTTAAATATCACTGTCTTATTAAATTACTACTTAATGCAAACCTCATAAAAATAACTGGCGGTCGGTGGAGGAAAGCCTGGTTTTGCCCTCCATGTTGGCGTTCCTGTAAGGGTGTGATGTCTTGTGAAAACTATGAATACACCAGTTCTTACCTCGTAAATGTGTAATGCACATACCTGGGAACAGTAGGCAGCCCACGACAGCAGATAAGAAAAGCACAAAGTTATCCTACGGTGTCAAATAAATTAATGTTAGCAAGCACGAGCAGAGATGGGAAGTAACAAAGTACAAATACTTCATTACTGTCCTTCTTAAGAAGATTTTTCTGGTATCAGTACTTTACTTCACTATCTATTTTTTTGGCAACTTTTTACTCTCACTCCTTAACATTTTTTTTTTTTACACAAATATCTGCACTTTCTATTTCTTAAATTTTCAAACCAGGCTACTTTAGTCCATTGTGCGTCTTTTTCAACCTAATGTAATACAGAAAACACAACCCCCCACTGTTTCCTGGCTATCACACACCTCAGCTGTAGGTTAGTCTATGAAGCTACTACTAGCAAGAAGGATGGCTAAAATTATGGGTGAAACTTTGCCAATGTCAACATGACAGAGAAATTAGACATTCACAGGGCTGTACAGGGCGAAATATGAAGAAAAAATTGGTCTGTTCGATTAATTAATTTACCACATTAGCATGCGCGCGATAGTTCTGCACATGTGAGCCTGTTTATATATACATGTTCTCCAACAGAGTATAGTATAGTACATGAACATCATAATCTCCAAAACAAACATCAGACACCCTGTACTTATCAAGTCCAAGCTGCAGCTTCTCCTCAATGTGAAGTCCATCACTTTCTCTAGCCTAGTGGACCATAGTCTCAGCTGGCTGCATTGTGTTTTTCCCTTACTTCCTTAGTGGCTGTGTGATAAGGCATCCTGCTTCAGTTTACCATTTATGTACAGTACAGTAACAATAATCTAATTTTAACAGATGGTGAGATTGGTATTATGAATTTATAGGCTACTGTAAGTATACCTGAAGCAGCTGCATTTTGCTGTTTAAGTGCTGGTTTAATAGAAATTATTTTAATGCACATGAAAACTCATTCTTGATGCGCACAAGACATGGAAATAAAAACATTCAGGGCTTTACTGAAAACATTTGGGGCTTCAGCCCCCTTAGCCCACCCTTAGCACCGCCCCTGGTTCATGCTATAATTTACTTTGGTTGTAGTTTGTATTAGACCTAGAATAATTTAATGGTAAGATCTTCAGAGGGTAAATGCTATGAAAGAACGGAAAGACTGATTTGGTGAAGGTGGTTGTGAATGTGTGTAGATGTGTGTTAGTTACAGGATCAGAGAATGACACCGTTCCTCTGTCATAGTCCAGATTAACTCTCACCCTCTGAAGCACCTGTTTAACTGGAAAGCCAAAGTCTTCAAACATTTTGTACTGCACACTCCAGATATCAGTGTTAAAGAAATCACCTCCCTTCCTTTGGTTTGATACTGTCGTTATTCCAAGACCCCAGGATGAACTCTCTTTAACCTCCACATCCCAGCAGTGTGTTCCTGAGTTAAAACCCTCTGAACCCAGGACACAGGGATAGATGTCAAATCTCTCTGGATTATCAGGAAGAGGTTGCCTGATGTTGCTCCATCTCACACTGGTCAGATCATCAGACAGGACGAGATGTGGCTGAGCTGTGTTTGGATCCAGAATCACAGGAGCTGAGGAGAAAAAAATCAACAGCTGCTTTAATTCTGATGACCATACACAGATTATTATGAATTATGAGACTGGACCAAATGACAAAACATATCAGACATATTTTAATCTGTAAATCTTCCCCCATGCATCATTTCCAGTGTGTGTGTAAGAGCTCAGATCTTCTCCAGACTCACTGTTCTGGACAATGTCCTGCATCTTCTTCCAGACTCTGAAGGGCAGGTTGCCCAAGTAACGCGGCACATCAATCAAAGCTCCAGAAGACATCTGTGGATCCGGCTGTGATGAGATCTGGACTCTGGAAGAACATTCAGGATCAGAACTGCAGTGGCTTTGGATCAGAAGCAGAGAGAGCAGAGACAACAGCAGATCACTCACCTTTCCATTGAGACTGGAAACTCCTGCAGAACAAACACACCATTTATCATCAACAACTCAATCAATCATCAGTCAATCAATCATCAATCAATCAATCAATCAATGATCTGAAATCAGACCTTCAGAAAGCAGACGTCACTGGCTTTCATCATCTCCTCCGTGTCTCTGATTATGTGTGAAAGATCTGAGATGTGTCTGTTGATCTCCTCCAGCTTCTCCTTCATCATCTGCTTCTTCTGCTCCTCTTCCTCCTTCAGTGCAGTGATTGTAGCTTTTTCTTCATCTCTGAGAAACTGTCGAAGCTTCTTAAACTCCTTCTTAATCTGATGCTCTGTGTGATCAGCTTGAGACTGAAATCAAACCACATCCACTTCAATCTTCTGATTCAGCATCTCACATCATCTATGGCATCAGTCAAACGTGTGGACACACTGAATTTATCATCCTGTTGTTTGATGACTTTACTATTGTTGTAAAATGTGGTTAGAGAATGAATGAAGCATTTAATGCTTTTCTTATGTTCTACTGTACACTCAAAGCACTTTGCAATCATACAGCCCCACTCTTTTTACAAGAAGTGCCACCACAGGACCTCGGGTTTAAAGGGGTCTTATGATGCGATTTCAATTTTTCCTTTCTCTTTGGAGTTATACAAGCTCTTGGTGCATAAAGAAGATCTATAAAGTTGCAAAGACTAAAGTCTCAAATCCAAATAGATATTCTTTACGTTAAGAGTCAACCACGCCTGCCTAAAATGGCTCGTTCTAACACGCCCCCACATATCTACGTCACGATGTGGGAAGATTTGCATAACGCCGACCCAAATGTTCACGCAAAGAAAGAAGGCATAACTTTTATTCTTGCTGTAGTATTGTTGTTGCCGCCACCGCTGTGTCTGTCGTTGTCACCGCTCCTTCGTCGAGTACGCTGGCCGCGCCGTTCTCAAGCCCGCCCGCCTCCGCTCACTCTTGGCCTCCAGCAGGGCCGGAGTGGGACTCCTTTTCAGCCCTGGAGTTTCATGCCTTCGACCGGCCCACTTTGTTTTTGTTTGTTTTATGTATTTTTTTTTTGTACTGGCTTTTTCCCTTTTCAGTGCCGCCTTTGCACTTTCTATTATCCTTTTTTATCTATTATTTTTTTGCTCGCATATCTCCAACAACTAAGGTCAAATGATAATTACATCATCATTAGGGTTGCCAATTAACTTCAGAAATAGAAAATAAGGGACAATTGTGATTCTTTATATTTTATTCTTTAAGAAAATTGCGTTTATTCTTGTATTCTTGTAGAAAAGAAGTGTTTATTCTTTAAGAAAATAAGGGACAGAATAAGGGACACTCCAAATATTTGTACTATACCATAATGCTATGTCTGCCTGCAGTTAAAAAGTTCTCAGAAATATTTCTTAACCTATTTATGTACAATTAGGCTATTCTAAAAATAATTTTAATGTCATACAAAAAATGTCATCGGCCTGAGTAAATTGTACAATTATAGAATTGTGACTTCACAAGTGTAACGTTAGTAATTTAGGAGGTGAAAATGCTGTGATATTACAAATGGCATGACGTTTGAAAGCATAACAACTATGAACAAGTCTATGAAATGTCAATCAATAAAGCATTAAACAATGCCACTTAAAGTTTTGAACTCAAATAATATTGCAACCATATAGTCTTTGAATGAATGAAAATGCATATGTTTCAATTAAAGAAAACTTACGAGAGTGTAGGCTTAAATAATGAGGTCCAAGTTTAAGAATACGCTAAACGTTTTTTTTTTTTCTCTCTCTCTATTTAAAGCAGCACTATGTAACTTTTTCTGTGTTCAAAATTTGCTAAATGTATATAATGAGCGAGTGCATCATGAATTCATCTTCCAAACCGCGTTTTTGTCTTATTCCAAATCACTACGGTACACTTAAATAAGTACAAGTTTATATTTGGACTATTGTAGGCTGATCGGGTCATCACCGCTGCGGAGTAACACACACCTGCGTGAATCGCCATAGACATAAACTTAGAGAAGTAGCTCCGGTTGGAATGTTCTTCCGCGGGATGTGTGCAGTTCTGTTTATTAACCGCTATAGCGCCATAAGTTACATAGTGCTGCTTTAACAGCATTAACTTTCAATGAAATACGTCTTCCCTCAGGTAGATTGAATGTTTTCCTGCCTTGCTGGATGTTGGGCTCATGATCAATAAGTTGTTTGCATTCACCCAAACTGATCAAAAAGCAGACGGTGAAGGGAATTGCCATTAGAACGAGTCCCGCTCTTCAACCCAGTGGAATGACAACACCGGCCCTCGCGGCCAAAAAAGCAGACCGGCCCACCGGGAATCTTCCCGGTGCTCCCGATTAGCCAATCCAGGGCTGGTCTCTGGCCTCCGCTCACTCAAGCTGGCCACCGCTCACTCTAGCCCGCCGTGTGTGACGCTATGTTTCATTGTGAAAGCGAAACTACTTTGTTTGGTCTTCCAAAAGAGGACACAACTAGAAATCAGTGGTTAAGATGTATTTACAACACTGTTCCAGAACAGTTCAACCCAAATACAGCCCCTACCAAGTATTGAGTACATGTACAGTAAATGAACATACTTTACAGAAGGCCACCAATTCACTAAAAATGTTTTTTTATTGGTCTTATGAAGTATTCTAATTTGTTGAGATAGTGAATATGTGAGCCAAAATCATCACAATTAAAATAACCAAAGACTTAAACTACTTCAGTCTGTGCGCATTGAATTTATTTAATACACGAGTTTCACAATTTGAGTTGAATTACTGAAATGAACTTTTCCACGACATTCTAATTTATTGAGATGCACCTGTATTCAGATGTGTGCAGCACATTTTATGGAGGACTGTTTCCTGATCCTGGTAGAGTAGACTACAATGCCGGCTGTTCTGACTCACAGACTGTAAGTGTGTTTTTTATATTTAAAGAATTTGCCACTGAAGATTCAAATGCGAGTTGTGAGCAGTGTAGAGTAGCGTTTGTTGTTTGTCATTTCTCCGATCACAAATGCAGACATGGTTTTATGTTTACGCGGCGCGATGCAATGCGTAAAAAGACAGTATAAGTCATTATAATCAGTAATTATGTCCCCACTGGATGCAACAAATGTCTCGTTTATAATGGGTTTTAATGTTTTTTAAAAAAAGTTTAGTTATAGTGTCCCTGTCACTATACTGGAGCATTAGAACCCACATAAACTGCAGGGAAAGATTACATGTGTTCAAACTTTTACTAATAGTGTATGTGAATGGTAAACTCTGTTGGGATTGTTGAGTATTTGACTCTTGATTTTTGTTTCCTCACCTTGATGTGTTGAACTGTTTTCTCAAACTCTTCTTTAATGTTTTCTTTGTATTGAAGTTTCTCTTGTAAGGACTTCAGTGCAGTATTGAGCTCCTCCTGGAATATAACAAAATTAGAAGATATAAAACATTAACCGAATATAATGTGTGTGATGAGAGAAATGGAGCTTTTTGAAACTGTGAATCAATTGAACCAATTGTTTGCTTCGTGAAATGAGTAGAAAAATCCACACATTGACGACATCTGCTGGTCACAATGTTGTAAATGAAATGATAGCACAGCCTAAACACGTAAACTGATGACATCTCTCACAAACCAGTTGAAAATATTTCATGAAACCATGATTGAATAAATGTATTTAAATAATAATTAATACTATAAAATATGAATTGTATGCATAGCTTGTGTTATAAACACCCTTAACTAATTAACCCTCCCAGAAGTTTGGGCCAAACCTGGCTCGGTCCTGGCATTGGGTTTATAACATGTTCTTTACATATGAAAAAATTTATCAAGATATTTGTCTTACCTTATAAGTTGGAACAACTTCACCGATGGGTCTGAATGTATGATTGACGTGTTTCTGTGAATCTCTGCACACTAAACACACCGGCTGTTTGTCCTCCAGACAGAAGAGTTTGAGTTTCTCGCTGTGTAAACTGCAGAGCTCCTCAGACTCTGATGAATGGCTCTCTTTTCTCTCTTCCAGGAGCGACTCACACAAGTTTTTTAATGCAAGATTACATGGAGGTGCATCATTTGAACATCTTCTCCTGCAGACAGGACACTCCTGAGTTTCTTTGATTTTCCAGAACTGTTGGAGACACTCTTTACAGACACTGTGACTACATGATAAAACAACAGGAGCCTTGAAGATTTCAATACACACGGGACAAGAAAGTTCTTCTACAGAAAGTGAATCCATTTTCACTCTTTACAAATAATCCATCAATAACCACAGGAATTACAAAGATCTGTTGTCTATTCAAAAACAAGCTTCTCAAAAATCCTTCTTGATCTTATTTCGTTTTTGATTTTGTACATATATCCAGATAAGACAAAGCAGTGGAATAACGAGACAGCCATTTCCTGGTAAGTGTTTTGAGAGGGTAAAGTTTCTGCATTTTTATTATCTTACTGATTGTGTCTTGTGTACTTTGACCCTTTGCTGCTGTTTTGAATCTGAGCTCAAGATTGTTATTTTTTATTTGAAAATGAATGATTGTCTGTCATAATTGTTAGAAAACAAAATAAAGGTTTGGGAAGAGACAGCTCTGGTGCTTCAAGTCTGTGTGAAGACGCTTATGTGTACTTTTATAAATGAATGACAGAATTAGAGAATATTTTAACTGTCCACTTCATCCACTTAATTCAGATTCACACATGAAAACAAAATACAACAAAACCCAGGTACACACTGCACAGTTTCACGAATGACAACCGCATTTAATTGCAGGAGGGAATCCTCTCATTCTGTGTTTGGAACATGACTCACTCCCGAAGCGCTGATGATTGACACAGAGAGCACGTTTACACAGCAGCAGAATACAGTTGTCAGTCCTGTATTTGAGTTCTTAATACGGTTACATTCACGCACTGTTATTTACAGGAGTGACAACCGCATTGTATAACCAAACGAACACCCGTTTTCAGGACTGCATTTTCAGAAAACTCACACTGTGTGAACTAGGCATGGGCCGGTATGAGATTTTGACGTTATGATAACCTTAAGCAAAAATATCATGGTAGCACGGTGTTGCGGTTACAGCTCTAAAATGTCTGGGTAAAAAGAACAACTTTTTTTCCACTGACCACAATATATTTTATTTTTAAGCAACATACCGAATATTTGGAACAGTAGATTTTATTTTTTTGTTTCTCAAATGTTTGCTGTATTGTGGGCTGACCTGCAACTTTTTGATATGGATGCCCCTAGAGCTACTGCTGCCCTAAAAAGAAGAAAAATAAAGACTGACATGCTATTTTAACCTAATTCTGTAAAAACGACAAAATAAATTCTCGTTCCCTTGTTTGTTTTTCGTAGCATTGTTCTTCTGCTTACAAAGAATATCTTGAAAGAGATAAAGAAAGCAGGAGAAAATAAAATCAAGAAATAATGGAAGCAAAACCTCCAGGGGTGAGCTAATGCCAAAACAATAAACAAACAGGCTAACTTTCACACAAGAAGAATCTTCTCTACAATTAAATCAAAAAGCAAACAAAACATACAATAACATACTCTATCTCCTTGTCTATCCATAAACAAGAGAAAAGGTGCTGGCCTCTTGGCCAACATAAGTAAAAAAGGCACTCACCCCTTACAGCTTCCCAAATAATTAAGAAGATACAAAATAGAATCAACAGGACATTGATGTTATTAACATAAAAGGTCACAGGGTATCCAAAGGCTAACAGCACTCTATTAAACCCCAAAGAAAAGGTGCTACAGAAATGATACTCGGTCACACTTCATTTCAACCATACTACAACAGTCAATCAAGAGAGGCAGAGGACTTCCTCCAGAGGACTTCCAGAAGAATTAATAGTCCAGGCCTCTTCTCTGGTCCAATCAGCAACAGCCTCGCATTACATCCACAACCAATCCTGAAGAAGGAATAAAAAACAACAGAAACAACAACAGAGCCCAAGAATAACAGCATTACCTCATAGACGTAACAACAGTTATTTAATTTTAGTTTAAATAAATCTAACCCAGAAAGCATGAAATAGCATTAGACATCCCCTTTAACCTTTTATTCAGAAATTAATTAGTTTAACTCTAACCCAGAAAGCATGAAATAGCATTAAACATCCCCTTTAACCTTTTATTCAGAAAATAGCACTGATATTACATAATCACACATCTGTTAAAATAAGTTCAAGAGACCATCACAGTTTGGTTACAAAACGCTATAAATCCATTTTGATTAATTTGAGTAAAAATGTGTTCCCTTAAAATTTACTAAATACTGAGCAAAGGGTCTGAATACTTAGGACCATGTGATATTTCAGTTTTTCTTTTTTAATAAATCTGCAAAAATGTCAACAATTCTGTGTTTTTCTGTCAATATAGGGTGCGGTGTGTACATTAATGAGGAAAAAATTACAAATGATTTTAGCAAATGGCTGCAATATAACAAAGAGTGAAAAATTTAAGGGGGTCTGAATACTTTCCGTACCCACTTTATATATGTATTTAATGCACTAGTGGTTGTGTGATATAATCCATCTGCGAGCTTTCTTTGCAGTGTTTCCGGGACCTGTGTGTTTCTGTCCTTTTCTAGGGTAGGTCCTCAGTGAGCACCCCCCTCTGCTGGATTCAGAAACCGGGTGTTCGACTTGCAGTGTTTACCTCACTCGTCGATGTTGTATCCAGCCGGTATGATAGCCCTGGTTTCGGCTTCATGCTTCCTGGATCATGCGGCCAGGTCACAGGCTTCTGCGGGAGCCTTCTTGATCATCAGGCCTCCGGCATGGCACTGCAAAATTTCCTGGATGTCCGGGCTGGGCTTATGTTTTCAGGCTGCCCTTTCTGGTACACCGTATCTAGGTTGCCCTGAGGGGCTTCCTGGTCACCAGGATATCCCCTCTTGCTGAGGCATCGAGCGGGAAGTATAGGTGGTATTTGCAAGAACCTTCTTGTGTAATGCTGTCTCAGGCAGTGCTCCCCTCACCTCAGAGGGTTGTATTTGAGCTTGCCTCTCCCGTTTGGCTCAGTACTTCCGGGTATCTGTGAACAGATGCTTGGGATGCTCTTAAATCCATGCTATGGTAAGTGCACACGCTAAGCTTTGTGCACTTTCCGAAATCCACATGGTGGTAAGTGTGCACGCTGAGCACTTTGCGCACTTTCTAAAATCCACATAGTGGTAAGTGTGCATGCTGACCACTTTGCGCACTTTCTAAATGCGCACTTTTTCTATGGTAAGGGTTACGTGTTATTAGCCTTGTTCCCTTTCTCTGAGTTGGCTTAGACCCTGCTACCTTGGGCTCCACTCAACCAGAGTGTCTCTGTTCACACACTTTTGAAGCATCGCTCCCCTCACCATTGAGGGTTATTGTGAGCATGGTGCTTCCTTTCGAGCGCTTGAGTTCTCTCCCCTTCTGAGGAGTTGGATTCCTCGCTCCATGGGCTGTTCTCGTGGTATTATCAGTATTAGCAGTGCTCCCCCTTATCAAAGGCTTGCCTATGAGCACGCTACTCCTTTTCTGAGTTCAGAGTTCTCCTCTCACGTGAGAGTTGAGTTCTCTGTTTTCCCAGAGCACCTGGAACCGGCAGCATCAGGTGAACTAGGCCCTTCCTCCGCCTCTCTGATGCGTTGAGTTTTTTGGCTAGCTTGCAGTATGCTTACCCTTCTGATTTCTAACAATCATGCTGTAGGTCGAGCCCCCCTCTCGTTTGAGAGCTGGGTGTTGTGCTCCCTCAGCTAGGTAACTTACTGCTAGCCGTTCCAGCATTGGAACATGCTGTAGATCGAGCCCCCTCTCGATTGAGAACTGGGTGTTTGCTCCCTCAGCTAGGTAACTTACTGCTAGCCGTTCCAGCATTGGAACATGCTGTAGATCGAGCCCCCTCTCGATTGAGAACTGGGTGTTTGCTCCCTCAGCTAGGTAACTTACTGCTAGCCGTTCCAGCATTGGAACATGCTGTAGATCGAGCCCCCTCTCGATTGAGAACTGGGTGTTTGCTCCCTCAGCTAGGTAACTTACTGCTAGCCGTTCCAGCATTGGAACATGCTGTAGATCGAGCCCCCTCTCGATTGAGAACTGGGTGTTTGCTCCCTCAGCTAGATATTTACTGCTAGCCATTCCAGCATTATACCATAGATTAAGTTGATGACTTCTCAAACATATTGTTTTTGGGATGCACCATTTCCATCTATGGGCTGCTCTTTCAGAGTGCCACGAGGGCCCCTTAGAATGATATCTTTAAAATCCATGTTATGGTAAGTGTGCACGTGAAGTCTTTGTACACTTTCTAAAATCCACACTGTGGTAAGTTTGCATGCTAGTACTTTGCGTTCTTTCTAAAATCCTGTATGGTGAGGGCTTTGTGCGGCAGCTTCGTGCCCTTTCTTGAGTTGGTTAAAGGGGTCATCGGATGCTCATTTTGCACAAGTTGATATGATTCTTTAGGGTCTTAATTAAAAGTCTATAACATACTTTGGTTAAAATTTCTCAATGTTAGTGTAAAAAACACCTTTTTAAACCTGTCAAAATCAGCTCTGTTTTTATCAAGCCATTATAGTCCATGTTGCTTTAAATGTTAATGAGCTCTGCTGGCCTCGCCCCTCTCTTCCGAGCTGCTCTCAGAGAAACTGTTTACTTTCATCGTGAAACTTGCTAATTAGTGCATTATTAGGAAAGGTGATTTGCAAAGATTCATAAAAAACCCTTATACTCACTTCTTCTGTAGATGAGGCTGGATCATCAATGATTCGAGCGAACATAGATGCATTTAGGCTGATCGGGAGTGGCGCATTCACTTCAAAGCGAAAGTAACGTTAATCCTCTGCGTCTTCAGCAGCTCAGATGTCGGGAGTAAATGACGATTGCTGTATTCATTATTACATCCAACAATAAAGCACCTCAATCGCTTAATCAGAGACATCTTGTCTTCCCCTGCACCAGAGTCAACACAATGGCGGACTGATGACAGCTCATTCAGGGTGGGTCTAAGGTAAGACACCAGTCCAGTCTGTGCTGAAACACTACTGTCAATCAACTATCGTGGGAGGGGCCTGTACAGAACTACGTCATTCTGACAGGAATCTCAGAACAGCCTGGTTTGAGAAAGGGGATTTTAAAATAGGGATTTAAAAAAAAACACTGGATGTATTTTTGTAATTATAGGATGGATGTGTACACACACTTCCAACATACATTTATGTTCAAACAACTTGAAAAGTGAATTTTGCATCCGATGACCCTTTTAAAGCCCCGGTTCCACCTTGGGCACCACTCCACCTATGTATCTCCGGATACCTACTTTTAACAGGGTGTTGCTACTAAGGGTCTGTTGAGACAGTTCCTTCAGCAAGCTTATGCAGAGCAAGCGGTAGCCCCTGTGTGACAGGCCAAGACTTAGTATGATTCTTGGCTCTTGGTCGTATCCCCTTAAAGGAATCTATTCCTGATTCCAAGCCTTGAGCTCTACCCTGGGTCCAGGAGTCTGGCCCTAACAGTTAAGTTTTTGGGGGTATGTAGCCTAGGCCTTTGGCCGTAGGGGATAATGTCACGGACAGCCGTCTAACGTCCCAGGGGCAACTCCTATGGCTATGGTAGAGTTGGTACTTAGTGCTCGCCATGGTTTTCTGGCATGCACTCCCCTCAGCATGGTGGCATGGGTATACCGTTCCCCACAGCGACCCTTAGAGGACACAGTTCAAAGTTCCCTTGAAAGGGAACGTCTCAGGTTACTTATGTAACCATGGTTCCCTGAGTAGGGAATGAGACACTGCGTCCTCTAGGTTTCCTGCCATGCTTCGGACGCAAGCTTCAGACAAAGAAGTGGATGACGTGTTCTCCCGGCGCCTATTTATACTATAGTCGCACCGGTAGTGACGTCATGGGCTGTCGCCGGCTAACATGTTGTTGGTGTTTTTGAATGTATGCATCAGACACGGGTCACGATGAGGCATTCCCCATAGCGACCCCTAGAGGGCGCAGTGTCTAGTTCCCTACTCAGGGAACCATGGTTGCATAAGTAACCTGAGATGTTTTCTTTACCAAGAAAGTGGCAAGATGAAAACCACTATTTTCTGTTTCAAACTTTTACATAGCATCTTTAGGTAATAGCATAAAAAATTCAAATCCAGATTTTGATTTTCAAAGATTTATTATAAAATTGTATTATTTTTCCCACAAAATGCAATAAATATATGACACGTTTTTTTCCCCCAAAATGCAATAAATTCATTGAATCAATATAAAAGTTATTTTTCATATTGAAACTGTTGAAAATACACAACATGGTAAGTTGATCCACATATGACAGCCTCTGAACTTCGTCAATATAATCTTATATGCAGGCACTGGACTAAAAATACATTCAATCAGTCATCGATCCAAAAATAATTCAACGGGTCATCTTGTTAATGATATAAATGAATTACAACAATCAAAGAAAATTTCATCATGAACAACAATATCACATTAAACCACAGACATTCCAAAATGACATTTCCCTTACATTCAACTTGAACGTGATATTGCAGTGATCTAAGGCTCTGTGTATTAAATGCCGCTCCATCTGAAAGCACATGATGGAGATTTACTATTCACAGAACCGGCTTTATTGACGAGATGCGCATGAAAATCACATGCGATTTATCGCGCAGCCCTAAGTTTGTTTGTTGATCACAAAGTACAAAATAGAATTGATACAGAAAAATTAAAACTAGTTGATGAAGATAAAAGGTGAAAACACGAAGATCCAGACCTAGAGGTGTAACGTCTACTGACTATTCAATGGTAAGATCCTGAGAGGGGAAAAAACTATAGAAGAATGGGAAGAGAGTGTCAGTGAAGGTGGTTGTGAATGTGTGTAGATGTGTGTTAGTTACAGGATCAGAGAATGACACTGTTCCACTGTCACAGTCCAGATTCACTCTCACACACTCAATATATTGTTTAATATGAAAACCAGACCGTTCATAAAGTCCATAC